CCGCCTCTGAGCACTGTGGGTGGGTGGCACCCTGTCCGTAAAGCCAGGGCACGCTGACAGCTAAGTCCTTCGGGATCCCAGTTACAAGGGTCTCTCGCTGAGATTTACGGACCTTCCGTGGCCCGGACTCTCCCCCACAACTGGTCTCTGTGGATCACAGCTGTTCTACCAAGCAAACGAGGGGAACAGAATTCTTCCCCATCTCCAAGGACAGTCTATCCCAGGGCAAACCCACCGGTGAAGTGCACGGAAGAGGCAGGGAGAAGAAAGGGGCGGCAGAGGTGGGCCTGGACGTTGCGCCCAGCTCTGCCAGTGCACTGAGAGCCCGGAGACGCCCACGGGGTTTAAACTCCTCCCTTCCAAGCCTGGGAGCCCCGCCGCTCAGCGAGACCAGGAGCAGAAGCAGCAGAAAGGACTGGGGCAGCTTTGCAAATAAGACTTGGGCAGAGCCGGGTTTGGTGGCTCAGCCTGTAATCCTGCGCCTTTGGGAGGCTGAGGTGAGTGGATTGCCTGAGCCCGCGGGCTCGAGACCCGCCTGGGCAACGTGGCGAGACCTCATCTCTACAATAAATCAAAAAATCAGCCGGGCGTGGTAGCGCATGCCTGTAATTCTGGCTACTCGGAAGGCTGAGGCGGAAGGATCGCCGGAGCTCAGCAAGTTGAGGCTGCGGTGGCCGGGAGTGGCTATTGCACTCCAGCTTGGGCGACAGGGTGAGACTCCGACTCAAAAAAAAAAAAAGGCTTGGGCAGTATTTCACGGGAATGGGAATGTGAAGAGTGAATTGCTTTGTCTCCCACAGAAGGGGTGTTGGTGGGCCTCTCTGGGCCCTCGGAGACTGTTTTGAAGAGTCAGAGTCGGCCTGACTGTTTGCGAACGTTAGCACTGGGGTGGGGAGACGGGGTTTCCTGGGCGGGAGAGGAACTGCAGGTGGACAGCACACTGCTCGGAGGAGGGGGCGAGTTCTGAGGGCGAGGGCGAGGAGAGACGATGTGAAGACACGGACAGCGAAAGAGCGCAAGGACTGTGTTCACCGCACGCACCCACGTTGGGGCCGACGGGAGAACAGGTGAACGTGAGCTCCGCAGGCAGACCCAGAGGAACCAGACTGCGAGGACCTGCCTCCTCCGGGACTCAGGGACACCGAGGCAAGGGCTCTAGCTGCACGTGGGCCTGAGATGAAAGGGAGATTGACCGGGAGCCGAGGAGGGCTGCCTGGGGCAGAGCTCCGTGAGAGGGCTGGAAAGACCCAGCCAGAGACGCGACGCGCAACGTGAGGGTCACAGCCTGGCCTGGCTCTCCAGGCACGGTTGTGGAGAGCCTTCATGCGTGGGCAGAGGGCTAAACAAGCCGTCTCCTAGAGCCTCATCCGAGTTTTGGTGAACCGAAGGCTCTTAACACGGAGGAACAGAAACTCCTGCTCCAGGCGCGTGTCTGAGGAGGACGTCACCACTGGGAGGGGCGGGGGTAAGTGGTGCTTTCCGTTTCCCCAGTCAACACCGGGCGTGGGTGGAGGAGACCCTGAGGGGGGCGAGGATGGGTGCGCCCACTGAGCCGCCGGAGGAAGCCAGGTCACGGCCATCAGGCGTCAAGCTGCGGGCCACCGTGCACACGGCCACACCCCAGGTGGCTCTCATTCACATGGCCGACAGCGTGCACGTGTGTGCATGCACACTCCACGCCCAGCTCTGACGTTTACATGACCGTTGCCGCGGGGGGCGAAGGGCCTCGAGGCAGGGCTGCCTTTCCCACTCAGCTCCCCGGGGCCCCGGGCCTCCTGTTGCCGACAGGACCGCAGGGCTCGGCCCAGGTCCCCGGAGAAGGTCCGGCCCTGCTGACGGTCCCGGGTTGACGGGATAGAAGCGTGACCGAAGGGGCTTTCTTTCCGAAATGTGCGTCGCGGAGCAGAGTGACCTGCAAACGGACTCCATTCCTGTGAGCGCCCACAGCTGGGGGCCGGGACTCCGGCAGTCCTGCCCTGGCTTTGAGAAGCTAGAAGACTGCCATCTGCATGCAACCAAGCAAACCGTGATCAGTCCCCGCAGAGACAGGCTTTGGGTTTTGTTGGCACGGCAAGGAAACGCGCTCTCCCTGGGGGCAAGAAGCAAGAAATGCGGCCTGGCGCTCGGAACCAGCGGCTCCCTGCTCCGCCTTGGAAACGGGGAGCGCAGGAGGAGTGGGGAGACCATCCAGCCGGCCCTCAGGGAAAGGCGGGGTGAGTGTGGTCTCCCTCGCAGGACGCTCCGCCCCCCAGTTGTCCTTGGGGCCACCATGGCAAGCCCTTGCAGAGGACACCGCACTTACCAGCCTGACTTCTGAAGCTGGGGCCCCGCGGGACTGGCAGCCTCTGAGGCCTTCAGCCGCCCACATTAATCACCCCCCGGGGACACCCCATGGTGCCTCCCAGTCAGCGAGGGAGCCCCAGTGGTGCCCAACACGGTCTGGCTGGCTGAGGTCACAGTGGACCGCGCTTCTGAGGCAACACCCCGGGACCCGCAGCTCCGGCCCGGAGGAGAGTGTGCCTCTGGCGGCCTGGTGTGTCTGGGGCCTCCGCCCAGCACGAGGAACTCGCGCCGGTTTCTTCCGTGCTCCCAGGACACTGGTTGGCGAGGGCTTGAATGCACCCAGGAGACAAAGCGCGTATACAGCTGGAGTCTCCTGCAGGATCCCCGGAGGGAAGCGCGGCTTCTCTTGGGTCCTCCCTCCCCCCTCCCTCCCTCGGCCTTCCCTTTGGTTTCCTGGAGACAAAGCCCTCACCTCCCTCCTCAACCCAACCTGGCTCTCAGGGTCCCCACTTGGGACTCCTGTCTTCCCCTCCCGCTTGGTGTGGATCAATGAAACGGTTCCTTTGTACTCTGAGTACTCTGAGGGTAGAGGAGCATTCATCAAGCGCCTACTCTGTGCTGGGGCATGTTTGCAAAATAAAATAAGGCCCCGAAAATAAGCCTTTGAAGACCGGCTTCATTGTCAGAGGCATGTCCGTGCCCCCTCCCCAAGTCACCTCACCCACCCCTCCGAATCTCACTCCTTCCTGGAGGACACGGAAGACCAACAGAGGGTGGCCCGCCAGTCAACAACACAACTGCACGTCTGGAGAAAAGGAAAGCTTGAAATTCCCTCATCCTCACTGCACATGGTACCTCGAGTGCACTCAGCTTGGAATTCATCTGGACTCATGAGCAGCTCTGGAAGGTGAAAGGACGTAACATGGACATCGCATGCTCAGCAAGCGGCCCCTTCACCATTGCCTAAATCTCATGTTTTTCTAACCATTCACTGCACTTGCCCTCGAGTCACTAGCCAAGGACAGAACCGGCTTCTCAGAGACAGACTCCACCACCACGGCAGCCGTCATGTGACTAACCCACCCCTCTGCCTGCCGTCTGTCACCTGACGTCAGTACCTGCGCTTACCTGCCCCTTCATCAACACCTGGCGCAGACCCCACCCAGTCACCACAAACGACCTTCTCCCATCACAAGGGAGGGTTAAAAGAACTCAACCGAGAGCAGCCAGTCGCCACTGCCGTTCCAGACTCTGGTGTGGCCATGCGCTCTTGGGGCTATGGCCGTCGCCATGTTTCCTGGGTCTGGGCCCCTCCCCTACCTTAGGGAGGTGAATCTTCTCTTCCTTTCTACTTTACTTTCCAAATAAGCTATATTTTCTAATCTAACCGCTGTGCATCCTTCACACAGCACCAGATCCAGGCCCGACCTCACGTTCTGGAGGCCGGGCTGGCAGTGCAACCTTACACTGCCTATGACCTGCAAGGCCCTGTTTGGATCTGTCCCTCCTCCCTGGCCAAACCGATGAGAAATATCCCACGAACCTATTCACGGTTTCTTGTAAGATCTGTCTTCCTAAAGCGTATATAACCAAGCCACCTTTCAGCCACAGTGGGCACACATTCTCAGGACCACCTGAGGATGGGTGTTCCTGGGCAAAAGTCCTCAAGTCTGGCTCAAGGATAAACCGTCTTAAGATATTTTACAGAACTTGGCATCTTTTCATCAACAACACTAAAGAGTTTAGAGCCTGGAGGAGCCTTGGGAATCTGTGGAGCCCAGCCTCTGAGGAGAAGCCACCAGGGTCACTGGTGGAAATGACTTGAGTGACCTGAGACAAGGCAGCCAGAAGCAGAACAGGAAGCCTGGCAGGCGTGCGTACTGACTCTGTGATGTCCTTATCAGCGGGCCACTTTGGGCAGCTATTTGACCTCCTGTGGCATTGGTTTCCTCCTCAGATGAACAGAATCGCCAAAAGGATACCTGCCCTGCCTCCCCACTGAGAAACCGAGCCTCAGGGGCTGCTGTGTGCAGCTCTGCAGAGCTGCTCGTGCCCAGATGAAGGGCGGCTGTGCCCATCGAGTCCTGGTCACAGGCAGGACCCACGGTGCTGGTCCTGGGCACGGGCGGGACCGCCCTCTTCGTGTGTGGCTATGGGTTTCAATGGCGTGGTTGCTCTCTGGGTGGGGGCACGTGGAGGTGCTGTCAAGCAGAGCGACTGTCCCGATGGGGGCGGGTGCCATGCGGAGTCCAATTTGGAGCCCAAGGACCCCTCCACCGGCTGCCCAGAGTGTTGGCTGCCAAGGGTTCGCTGCTGAGTGGTTCCTCAGAACTGCTCTCAGCCCAAGGGCGTCCTACCTCCTCGCCCGGAGGCAAGCCACACCCAATGGCCGACTGGTCACAGGACAGGGGACCCACCAATCTGGATTGCAAAGCTCCTCGAAGCCTCAAGCCTTGGCAGGGGCCTTGGCTGCAATTCCATCAACTCAACAGCTCGAGTTCACCTCCCCCTATCCACTCGGCTCCTACCTCCCCCTAGAGATGTCGCTCTGGAGGGCCCCCCAGAAGCCCCTGCACAGACCCCCGTAGGGGAAGTGGACTCACAGCACTTCCAAGGCATCGGGCCCCCTGAGGGCAAGTCCCTGAGGCTCAGAAGGACAGTCCCTGAGCTCCCAAGGGTCCAGCTGCACACACTGCTTCCTTCTCCCTCTGCCCGTATCAGCCTGGCCCTGAGCAGGAGAGGAAAGTGTCCACTGAGAGAGGGCTGTTGAGGAGGTCTTCACCGATCGCCCCCAACTCCCACACGCAGGCAAGCACAAAGGCCACCTATCCACAGCAGGCGGAGGCAGAGGGTGATCCTGTCCACCCCTCGCAGGCCCGCCCCTTCCCTCCAAGTGCCCATCCTGGTGAGTGCAGCCCTCAAGGGCAACTCTGAGAGGACAGAGCTGCAACAGAGCCGCTCTACAGGTGGCAGTGGGGCCGTGTGGGAGGCATGGGGTACGCTTTCCAGCCTTGCCTAGGCAGGCAGGCAGTAGCACACACTAGCGAGGCGGAAGAGGCCATGTGACCACAGAGGCAGCGACTGGAGCCCTGAGCCCACGGGCCAAGAGATGGTGGTGGCCACCCAAAGCTGGGAGAGGCAAGGAAGGGTTCTCCCCCAGAGACTCGGGAGGGGGCGCAGCCCAGCCAACACCTCGATCTCAGCCCGGGGAAACTAAGCCTGGACCTCTGGCTTCCAGAACTGTGAGAGAATAAACATCTGCTGTTTTAAGCCACCAGGTTAGAGGTAACTGGTGACAGCAGCCTCAGGAAGCCATCCTAACCTTCACCCATGTCGCATCAGGCATGGCCTCACACTCAGATTCCCTCAGGTTCCACAGCTGTAAAGTCATCTTTCTTCCCACCGATAGGATTGGACAGGACAGAAGGACTTCCCTTCTTATTTGCAGTTTACAGCAGCCACGTTAAGAAAAAAGGATGTCTTTTTCTATTGGTAGAATTTCAGACACCTGGCAAGCGATAATGGAGATATTTAGGGACAAGAGAGGGCATTATGAGTCTAAAACACAACAATCAAAACTATTGTTCCTCTAAAATCCATACTTTGGAACCCAAGCCCCCGCCCCCAGGTGGTGGTATTTGGAGATAGGGCCTTGTGGGAAGTGATTAAGTCCTGAGGGCTCTGCCCTCATGAATGGATTAGTGCTCTAATAAAAGAGGTGGAAGAGAGCTCCCTGGTGCCTTTTCTGCCCTTCCACCAAGTGAGAACACAGCATGAAGGTCCTCACCAGACAAATGCTGGCACCTTGATCTTGGACTTCCCAGCATCCAAGACTATAAGTAACACTTTTTTTTTTTTGAGTTGGAGTCTCACTCTGTTGCCCAGACTGGAGTGCAGGGGCCGCTCCCGGCCACCGCGGCCTCGACCTGCTGGGCTCCGGCGATCCTTCCGCCTTAGCCTTCCGAGTAGCTGGAATTACAGGCGGGCACTACCATGCCTGGCTGATTTTTGATTTATTGTAGAGATGAGGTCTCGCCAAGTTGCCCAGGCGGGTCTCGAACCTGCGGGCTCAGGCAATCCACTCGCCTCAGCCTCCCAAAGGCACGGAATGATAGGCTGAGCCACCGAGCCCAGCTAAGTAACACATTTATGCTCTTTAAAATCATCAGTCTCTGAGAATGTAAACTAGTTCGGCCCCTGTGGAAAGCAGTTTAGAGATTTCCCAAAGAACTGAAAAACAGAATTACCACCCAACCATCAACCCCATCACACTGGATATACACCCAAAGGAACATAAATCATTCTACCAAAGAGACACTCACATGTTCATCACAGCACTATGCACAATAGCAAAAGCATGGAATTAACCCAGGTGCCCGTCAATAATGGACTGGAGAAAGACAATATGGTACCTATATAACATGGAATACTATGCGGCCATAAAAAAGAACAAAATCAGGTCCTTTGCAGCAATGTGGATGCAGCTGGAGGCCATTATTCCAAGCAGATGAACTCTGAACTAAAAAGTCAGATACTACGTGTTCTCACTAAACACTGGATACACACGGATATAAGGATGGGAACAGACACTGGGGACTTCTAAATGGGCAAGGGCTGAAAACTACCTGCTGGGAACCATGCTCATTATTTGGGTGATGAGCTCAGTAGTAGCCCAGACCTCACCATTACACAATGTACTCATGTAACAAACCTGTACGTGTACCCGCTGAATCTAAAATAAAAGAATAGATAAATTACCCGTCCCGGGTATTTGTTACAGCTGCACAAATGGACTGAGACACCCGCTACGCCTTCTCATGAGCCCAGATCCGTCTTCAGAACCCCAGCCCCAGGAAACGACTAGAATCAGAGTTGGCCAAACTCTAGCCACCGCTGGTCTTTGGAGGACAGGGGTCTGTGGAGTCCAGGGAGGGAGGTCCGTTTCTCCCACAGACTCAGGGCCTGAGACTGAGTCCTCCTGCCTCTTCATCCCGGAAGTCACCCGTCACACGCCCTCCAGCCCGTGCCCAGGCTGGGCCGTACCCACCTTCTGCACTTCCTCAGAGGACGCGTTGCACGGGCTGCTGGGAGGGAGTGCCCGGGGGCACCGTTTGTCCCCGCTGCTCAGGGCCCACGAGTTGGCAAAGTCATAGGGGTCCGAGGTCAAAGTCCCTGTGGAGCAAAGTTTTGGGAAAATGGCGCTTCAGTTATGCCTGTCCCGGGACTTCTGAGTGAAGACCCGAGGACTGGAGTTAGACAGCAGGCATTTGGGGTGAGACGTGTCGCCTGTGCAGTGCCCAGCCTGACACCACGAGGCACGGGCATTGGAGCACAGCGACGTTTCGTGAGTGAGGGACGGATGGATGAGAGGTTACATGCAAGAGGGGACATGAAAGACGATGAGGGAGCCGGGCTCGGTGGCGCAGCTGTCATCCCGCGCCTTTGGGAGGCTGAGGTGAGTGGATGGCCTGAGCCCGCGGGTTCGAGACCCGCCTGGGCAGCGAGATCTCATCTCCACAATAAATCCAAAAATCAGCCGGGCGTGGTGGTGCGCGCCTATAGTTCCGGCTCCTCGGAAGGCTGAGGCGGAAGGACGCCGGAGCCCAGCGGGTCGAGGCTGCGGTGGCCGGGAGCGGCCGCTGCGCTCCAGTCTGGGCGACCGAGTGAGACTCCAACTCAAAAAAACAAAACAAAAGAAAGAAAGAAAGACAACGAGGGGATGCTCACCCTCTCACTCTCCGAGCCTCCGCACACCTCCCTCCCTCCTCTACCAAACACGCCACACGCTCGTGTTCATCTTGCTGACATGCATCCTTCATTCAACGGTGAGCTCCTTAACGAAGGTCTCGGGCTATGTCTATCGCTCAATTCTTTCTGGTAGACTGTGAGTTACCCAAATATTTTGGCGGAAAGAAGGGAAAGACGTGACACGGAGCCTAAGCCCACGCATCACTGCATCATCTGAACTCTCACAGCATCTGGGTTTTACTGTCAGCTACCCACAGTGGACGGTGAGAGCCTCCTGGGCCAACACAGCCTGGTGCAAAATAACCGCTCAACAACACCGCTGGAGCTTTATAACAGAGGTAGTGTGGGACGACTGCCTTTGCGTATTGGGATGAGCCGCTCTGGGCTTAGCCGGGCTGGGAAGAGTGAAGCATGTCTCAAGATCAAGTAACGCACGTAGAAATAGGAAATAGCCGGGTGTGGTGGCTCACACTTGACATCTCAGCACTTTGGGAGGCAGAGGCGAGAGGATTGCCTGAGCCCACGGGTTTGAGACCAGCCTGGGCAACATGGTAAGACCTCGCCTCTACAATAAATCAAAAAATTAGCCAGACGTGGTGGCGCACCCCTATGGTCCCAGCTACTTGGAAGACTGAGGTGGAAAGATCACAGCCCAACAGGTCAAGGCTGCAGTGGCCATGAGCATGCCACTGCACTCCAGCCTGGGCAGTAGAGTGAGACTCCAACTAAAAAAAAGAAAAAAGAAATAGGAAACAAGCTATCTCTGTGGAAAGAAAATAAAAATGAGGCCTCAAAATGTAGTCCGGTGGAATCTGGAGTTTGATAGGCAGAAAAAAGCCCCCCCAGAAAGATACATTCAGTTCTTAAACCCTGGAATCTGTATTATCGCCTCTGGCAAAAGATGCGTTTACATTAGGGAACTTGAGAGGAAGGACGTCTCTTGGATTACCTGGGTAGGTCCTAAATGCAATCATCTGTATCTTTACATGAAACAGGTAGAGACCGGACAAGATACACACAGAGGAGACAGCAACGTGAAGATGAAGACAGAGATAGAATGATGCCTCCAGAAGTCAAGATATGCCTGCAGACCCTGGAGGAGGCTTGGAATTGATTCTCTGCTAGAGCTTCTAAAGAGAGCACAGCCCTGCAACACCTTCATGTCAGACTTCTGACCCCCAGAACTGTGACAGAATTCACTTCTGTTGTTTTAAGCCACCGTATCACAGGAAAATGATATACGAGAGAAGCCAAAGGGAAGAGAACTTCAATCTGTGGAGCGTTCCACTGTGTGCCAGACATTGTGAGCACACAGGCTTGGACACTTTCTAGTACACCAGAAGGAAGGGGCAGAGAAGAAGCTTCGTGTTGAGGCAGGGTAGCTAGCACAGGCCAGACATCGATGGATCAACTTCCCATAGGCGGGTTTTAGGAAGCGTTCAGACCTTTTTAAAATTACATTTTGCTACAGGCCAAGCTGGTAAATCACCCCCTTGGCAAATCAGAAGGAAATCCCATCAGATGTACGAATAGGACAGCACAATCTTCTCACGGTTTGGCATCATAACCTCTAAGAATCTTTCGGGTTCCCTGTAGAAGGCAGAAGGCCCAAGGCCACCCCTTAACTGACCAAAGCCATAGAAATGATAATAAGATCACCTTTTAGCTAAGGAATGTGTGAATTGGAAACAGTCAGGCAGGTCTCCTACAAAAGACACTGTGGTCAAGAAAGACCACCCCTGCCTTCCTTCCATCAGGAGCCCAGAGATATCAGTCTCCAAAGTGACAGTTACCTGGGCTCCACCCTTTTTTTTAGCATATCAATCATTGTGAAGGTATATCAGGTCTATTGTAAAGAGCAAAGGTGCAGTTTATTTCGCCGGGCCAACTCCAGCATGTTTCTGTTTGTTTTCTCCCTTCTTTCTCTAATAAACTTTGTTTGAAACTTTGCTGGCTGCTCTCAAAATCACCTAGAAACAAGCCAAAGAATCCACAGGTTTTGCGCCATACCCCACCCAGCATCAGTGTTACCTGGAGAAAGCTCCTCTGTCGCCCTGTGGGATCTGCACTATTATCATCCCCTTGAATCCAATTCCTCACATTTAAGAAAAAAATTAGACTAGATGAGGCTACTAGGATCCTCCTCAGTCCTGACCTTCTATGAAGTGAAACTTCATGGTCTAAATCTGAAATGATGCATCAGGCCATCCAATAGATGGAACTGCCAGTGTTCTTGCCTGGAGAAAACTCTCGGAGACCCAGGGTTGAAGCCAAGCTGGGCATACTCCAGCAGTCAAGGAGTCAGGTTAACAGCGCAGGAGCAAATATCATTGAGTCTTTATCAACCAAAGAGAAATAACCTCCCAATCCTCTGAGGGAGATTTCCAAAATATCAGCAGAGTCTTGACTTCCTGCCCACAAACACCCCCTTCATCCTCATAGCATAGGTCCCATTTTTAGTTTTTCACCTCAAAGTCCAATAGGAGAAAGAAAGATATTTTATGGCTGGGACATTTCTAGCAATATGGAAGATTAGAAACATCTGAAAACTGTGTCACTACAACATACAAATATCCTGCTGCATCCATGGTTAATCTCACAAAAAGTGCAGGGGATTTCAAGAGACAAAAAGGAGGTGGGAATGATATGGAGAGAAAATTGAAAAACAGAACTGGCAAGGGTGGTGGTATTAGCATGAGAGTGGCAGTCTTGTCAACCAAGGGGCTTGGGTTTAACTGCTCTATGGAGATGGAAATGAATCTTGGAGCTGCATGTTGTGAGGAGGTGGAGCTGAGACCCAGGGAAACTAAGGAAACATGCTACCATGGTCTGGGCTCTGGATAAAAGAGGAAAATTTGTAGTTGTGGAAAAGCCTTCATATAGATTTGAGATTCCAGTTTATTCTTCTTGTAAGATTTGCAACTCCATATCAAAAAATTAACATAAAACCCTTCAAAAATGAGCTCACACTCCAAAATTATGAAACAAAGAAAACAATCCTCTATAAGCAAGAGTCAGCAGACACAAAAAAAGCAGGATTCAAGCTCCAAAGACTTCAGGTGTGAAATAACAATATCTAAATGTATTGTTATAAAGAAGAAATTGAAACTTGATCAAAGAAACTGACAATAGGAAACATAGCACAGAATAAAAAGAGCTAGATTTATCTTCTAAAATTACAAATATAGTCAATGAAATAAGGCGAAATCTTAATTGATAGGTTGGATGTCATCTGCAGATTAGACAGAGTTGAGAGAGAACTAGTGAACTAGAAGACAAATCTAAATAGTGATGTGCTAATAAGTCAGATCTCCAGGAAAAAAGCAAAGCTCTGATTTGTAGCATTTGCTGATTTCCATGGTATAAATACTCCTACCAAGACCAATTTCAAGGTACCAAAACAGCATTACTGAGTGTGGATCTGAGAAGAGATACACACAATTGATTCTCACCAATCAGCATGAGCATACCACTTGATCTAAGCCAGCCACCCACAAATCAGCCCAGAGGAACGAAAAGATAGAAAAATAGGAGTAAAGAGAAAAAAAGATGACATAAAAATATCCAACATATCTTTAATAGTTCCCAAAGGAGAAAAAAAAGACTGAAAATTTTACAAATCTGGTAAAAAACAGAAATCATATTCAGAAATCATGGTGAGTCTCATGCAAAATAATAAAAATAAAACCCACACCTAGACACAACATAATGAAATTCCAGAATACCAAAAACAAAGAGGTGACTTAAACACAAAGATAAAAGTCTCACAATCTGCAAATAAATAAAAATTAGATTGACAACTTCCTTCTCAACAACAACAATGGAATTCCTCCAAGTGCTATCAGAAATAACTACCAGCCAGGCTCGGTGGCTCAGCCTGTAATCCCAGCGCTTTGGGAGGCTGAGG